GAGCCAATGTGAGAAGTGGGAGGGAGCCAATGTGAGAAGTGGGAGGTGTTGGTGTTGCTGCTGCAGTTGGAGAGTCCTTTGCCTTCCCCCTTCCCTGCCCCATCCGCCCCCAGGATCGATCTTGCTGCTGGCACATTGCTGAGGTGCAGGAACCAACCTGTCACACTTTTGGGCCGTTTAAAATCTGCCCCATCCCCACATGGAGCCGGGTAGCAAGAGCTCTGGGCACGGGTGCCACCCCAAAGCTGGTGCTGAGCCAGGCAGGCGGGTTCAGCCTTTAGCTCGGTGCCCTGCGTGGGACAGGCTGGGGGTGTTGGTGGCAGAGGTGTGATGAGACACGTCCTGGGGCACATCCCCAAGCAGCTGCTGGACTTTGGGACAACCACAGCCTGTGAGAGCACCCCCACACCCCAGCCCAGGTGCCCCCAGGCAGGAGCTCACGGCCGTTGTTTGTGGTTCTGCCCGGAGACCTGACGACATCGTTTCACAGTTTCCTCTTTCCGTTTTATGTTGCGTTTCCTGTGGTGGAAAACGCTGCCGGGACAGCCCTGGGCAGGGACAGCGGGGACACGGGACAAAGGGGAGAGCCCTGCCAGCATCCCCCGGGTCCCGGGGCTGCAGTGTCCCCCGGCCAAGCGGGCACATGGCTGTGGTTTGCTCTGCCCAGGGAGCCCTAAAACTGCCGAGGTGCTTGTGCCCGGGAGGGAGGAAGAGCCGAGGGCGACACTCGTGTCCCCAGCACTTGTCACTGCCGGCGGTTGGAACCGCGGAGCCGCCCAGTCCGGGCTGTGCCACCTCCTGACCCTGAGCCCTGCGGGCACTGCGGGCACTTTGGGGCACTTTGGGGCACTTCAGTCCCCACACACAGACTCTCTGGCCTCTGACCTCCAGGACTGGTGCCAGCCTGTGTCTCCCAGAGTCCCCACGGCCACTGTCACTGACAGAGCCAGCCTTTGCCTGGGACACCGGTGCAAACCACCCCCAGCACATTGCTGGACTCCTGCCCCTTCCCTCCCCTCCTTTCCCTGGATTTGAAGCCGAGCCAAGGCCAGTCACTGTGTTCAGTGTCTGCACAAGGTGGCACCGACCACCCTGCCCTGAGTGAGCCACTGACCACCCTGCCCTGAGTGACCCACTGACCACCCTGGGTCGGGGCAGTGGGAAGAGGCAGCTGATCCCTGGCAGGGCTGTGGGTACCACTCTGCACCCCTGGGAATTCACCCCTTCCCTCTCCTGCTGCTCCAAGGGGGCTGCAGGGGGGCACAAATACCAGCAGTGGGAGCTTCACTCCAACACCTGGGTGATGCTGCAGGGAGGAGGGGACACTTTAAGGAGCTGGCACGGCAGGAATGGTGCTCAGCCCTGGGCAGGATCAAGCCCGGCCGGTGCCAGGGTATGAAAGGGGCGAGGAGGCAACACCCAGGGTTTGGGGCTGGGAAAGGGGGCAGAGCAGGGCCCTGGTGGGGGCTGTGGCTGCTCAGGGAGCCGGTGGCTGAGCACTGAGTCCTGAGCACAGGGGTGAGCTGGGGCTCTGCAGGCTGTGACTGCTCTGTTTTGCTGTTCCAGGGGGCAACATCTGCACCACCCGTGGGGTGAACTCCTGCAAGCAGTGCCTGGCTGTGAGCCCCCTCTGTGCCTGGTGCTCTGCCGAGGTAAGAACTGGGGGGCTGAGCTGGGGGGCTGAGCTGGGCTGAAGCTCATCCCAGAGCAGGACTGGGGCTGTGGAGGAAGGGACGAGCCTTTGGGCTGTGGGATTAATCCCAGGCTCCATCTCCACCTGTTCCCACCGTGTCTAAACACATCCCCTGGCTCAGACCTGCACATCACTCCTGCCCTGCTCCCAAAATCTGCCCCTTAAGCGTGTGCTGGTGGGAGCTGCATCGAGCTGGCTGGGAAATGGTGCTGCTTCCACTGGGAAATCACTTTGCCTTTCAAATAACATGCATGTAAAAGCTCAGTTTACTTTTGGTTTGCTTCTTGAAAACCTGTTGTAAAGCTCTGGCTGAAGGAGCTTAATTGCTGGAAGGGGCTGGAAAGGGAAGGGGGATTGGAGGGAGGAATTGAAAATGGTGATTAGAAGTTATGGGGTTGGGTTTAAAAGCCTTTTTTTTCATTGCAAGTAAGGGGAGGAGAGGACAAGGTGCCTTGTTTTGGTTGCTGGGCTAAGGAGGATGTGAGTGCTGAGCTGTGGCTCTCAAATCACTCAGTTTGGGTAGGTGAGAGCCTGGGAGATCTGCCACACTCCCCTCCAAAAATGCTGCCCTGGGGGTTAATCCATTAGGTAAGAGGAGGGAGTTTCCCAAGGGGATGGAAGAGCAGCCCCGGGGCAGAGCCAAGGGAGGTGAGGCTGGGATGGGGAGAGGTGATGAAACCTTCAGGGCATCCAGCCCGGGGTGGATCCCCCTCTGGCAAGGCTTTCCTTGCTTTCTGCTTCCTCCAGCTGAGGCTGTGCCCGTGGTGTCCAGGAGAAGACCTGGGAAAAAGTGATCCAAGCTGGAAAATGCTGTTGGATCGTGCCTGTGTGGTCGATGCCTTGGGGTCAGTGTGTGTCTGGAGGGGATGGCTGTGCTTGCTGTGCCCATCAGATAGGGCTGGACCTCGGGTGTGGTGTGAATAAAGATGTTTGTGCCCCTTATCTCCCTCGGGGAGTGTCCGAAATGTGCCGGGTGATAAAGGGCCTGGCTTCCCTCTGGATCCCCTGTCCCGGGGGGAATGCTGGCTGGGCTGGGCTGGGCTGGGCTGGGCTGGGCTCCCTCCTTCCCGGCTGCTGACTGGGCAGGGCTGGTGCCTTAACGCTGCAGCGGGGGCTGTGATGGAGCTTTTTTTTTTCCTCCAGATCAGCAAAGGTTTCCAAAAAAGGAAATATTTCCAGTGCTGCTGCGAGCTGTGCTCGTGGACAGACGTGACAGCGGGGAGGGAGCCGTCCCACTGCCAGAGCCGGCCCCCGGAGAGCCGGGAGTGCAGCTCAGCTCAGCAACTCTGCCCCAACATCTGGACCACATTGTCCTAATTTAGCAAATGAGGGTTTTTGCTGCGGGTTTGTTTAATTTCCCTGGGGTGGGGGGAGGTCTCTGATACTGCACAGCCCCCCCTTTTTTTTTTAAAGGGACAGTGCCCTTAGTTGTGCTCCTGCTCCTGCTGCAGCCCTTTCCCACTCACTGGGGTGATGAGCTATTGCTGCTCCATCCTGGGCTGGGATGGGAGAAGGATTTCATTGTGGTTTCTTGTGATCACTGACCCCCCTGAGCGCTGATGCAGAGGGGAGTTGAGTTTTATTTATTTTTTGGAAACCTTGACCACTCTTCCCAACAAATAGATGCTCTCATCCCTCACTTCTTCTTTTGGAAAAAGCCAGCCAAGCTGTAACACTGACACGTGGCTCTAAAACCCCTTTGGAGATTATTGTGACAGATCTTCCAGCACCTCACCCTCCCAAAATGTCACCCATTCTGGTTCCCTTGGAGGAAAGGTGGAGGCAAGGCTGGACCAGGGGTGGATTTCAGAGAAGCTGCTGGAAGATTTTAGCTTAATTTGGGGAGGTATCTGTGCTCTGAGCCCTCCCAGGAGCTCTCCTGCAGAGAAGCTGATGCTGCATGTGGTTGTGCCAGAGCTGAGAATGGAGATGCCCCGGGGATGTGGGAGTTTCCACAGCCTCCCACCCTGGGAAGGCAGGGATGGAGCTGGCTCTGGCAGTGCCCTGCCTGACCCTGCCCTCACTTAACGGCTCTGGAGGCAGGAATTGGGATAAAATCACCAGGTTTCCCATCCTGAGTTAAAACCTCCCTCCCTGCAGCGGGACAGAGGGCAGGTGGGGCTGGGGAGCATCTCTGGGAAGGGCTGTGGGAAGGTTGGGATGGAGGGGTGGGAACACATCCCCTCACATTTCTGCCCTAAGGAGCTGTGCTGATGGAGGAGGGGGATTTATCACGGGTGAAGTCCCTGCACTGTGTGTTTGTCACCAGCAGGCCTTGGCTGCCCCAGGTTGTTCCCACCTGGGGCTGTGCCCAAAGTGCTGAGTCAGCAAGGTGGCAGAGACTGGGGTCAAAAACAGACTGGGAGCTGCCAGGACCCTGTAGCCAAATACTCCTTGGATGGCACAGGAATGTTTTCCTTCACCTTTTGCAGTAGTTTTGTTGCTGGGGAGGCTCCTGTGAGTCCTGAGCCAACCTCAGTATTTAGGGCTCCACGGAAAGGGGAAGGATGCAGTCCTGGGGTTAAACAGCTTCTCCGTGGGAATCTCACAGCAGGAATGGTGCTGCTAATCCCACAAGGTGCCACATGGCCTCTGAGGTCCTGGGAGCTCCCTGGGATCTCCAGGTACCCCCCAGTGCCATGGATAAACCCCACCTGCCCAGCCCAGCCTGCTTTTCACCCACGTACTTTTCCAGCAATTTCCCTTCCTGGGACAGGAACGTACGTGATGACTGATGGGATCTGGAGTGAACCAGCCACCTCTTCCCACAGCAGGGAGCCCCGTGGGGTGAGCCTGTGGGGTGGATGGGTGCAAGGGAGCTAATTTGGAGGGATGACTTGTCCTCCTCCCCGTCAGCAGCGATCCGGTGGGATCGGGAGGCTGTGGGGGAGGAACACGCCTGCTGATGTATTCCTTGGCTGTCCCTGCTTCCAGAGGGCCGTGGGCCAGCCAGGGCCTCCTGACACCATTGCGTTCTTCCCCTTGTTTGCAAATTCATCCCTGGGTTCAATCAACCTGAACCCAGGGCAGACGATATCCCGGATGGGAACCTCTCCAGCACCGGGAGACTCAGAACTGGGATCCAGCATCCCTGGACCAGCCCCACCAGGGCTTGTGCCACTTCCCTTTGCACCAGGGAGAGGCTGTGCTGGTCCTCTGCTGTAGGAGTCCGATGTGGAAAGACTTGGGCTGTGGGAGGCAGATGGAAAATCCCTTTGGGGAGGAGGGTGGACACTGCCTGAGCGGGAACGTGTCACAGCAGATCCCGGCAGTGATGGGGGAGAGAAATTCCTCCCATATTTGTCTCCATGAGAAACTGGAGGGACGTGAACCCTTCTGAATGTGTGGTGATAAGGGCAGGGAGCCGGGAGCTTTCTAGGAAAGGAGGGACAGGGCTGGAGCCCGCAGTGACTCCACACTTTGTGCTTCCTGCCCCTGACGGGCCCTTGACGGCTTCTCCTGCACTCCAGTGCCTGTTCACTCTTTCACTCCTTTTTTGGTGCTCCTTTCCCGGTCAGCTCCATCCGGCAGGAAGCTGGGGAGCTGGAGATAAGCCTGATCCACTCCTGGGCAGGAACTGAGCACTGCTCCCTGCACTGGGCTCACCCACAGTGGGCCCGTTCCTTGCTCACAGCAGGATTCCTGAGGGCACGTGTGGAGAAAATGGGGGGAAAAGGTGATTTGTCTTTTGCCAAAGCAACAAGTAATTTAAAAAGTCCCAGCCTGCTCCTGTTCACATCCCACCACACCCTCCTCCAGCCATCCCACAGAGACAGGCTTTCCTTTCAGCTCTGCCAGAACCCAAACGTGAGGCTCCAGCTGCCAGGAGCCGGGAGGGGGTTGGCAGGGGTGTGTTATCCATCGCTCCTTGGCAGGGGTTGCTGAGCTCCTGCTTTGGGTCCTGGCAGGACGTGCTGATCCCAAATCCCCTCTGTCTGCCACCTCCCTCGAGCACAGACCGTGTGCCCCAAAACCCCTCCGGGCCTGGTCTGGCATGAGGTGTGATAAAGCTCTCCAGGGAAAAGGGGGGTGGTTTTCCTTCTCCCAGCTGTGGGGAGCTGGTTCCTGACCGTGTCCCTCTCCCCCAGGTCTGGGCACAGTCGTCCCCTCGCTGTGACCTCCGTGCCAACCTGCTGCACAACGGCTGCGGGCAGGAGCACATCGAGTCCCCCAGCAGCAGTGTCACCATCCTGGAGGACAGACCCCTCAGCAACAAGGGCTCAGGGGGGGCCACCACCACCCAGATGAGCCCCCAGAGAATTCAGCTGAACCTGAGGCCAGGTAAGAGCCCCCAGGCCGCTGTGGGAAGGGGGGGATGCAATGGGAATAACCCAAAGGGCGCTCAGGCAGTGACAGAGCCACGGCTCTTCCTCGCTGGCCAAGGGGGTCTTGTGGGGGCAAGGCCAGGCTGGGGCCACACTGAACCCTCCAGAACATCCCTGGTGGGCAGCCTGCAAGCTGCTTGCTGCCTTCAGTCTCTTGCCTCAAGCCTGATGTGCCCAAGGGGCAGGACTGGATGTGACTTCAACAAAAAGCCGTTTGGATCCGAGGCGCTGCCGCTGCGCTCGGAATTCCTGGGTGGAAGTCGGCTCGTGTCTAACGAGCAGCTGGCAGGGCTGGGCTGCCAAGAGGTCCTGTAATTTCCCTGGCTCCCTTCAGCCAGGCAGGCTGGAGCCAATTAACTGCTCTGGTCCCCTGCCAGCAGCCAGGAGTTTCAAGGATGCCAGGCAGGAGGCAGAGCTAACGGGCGTCACTCGCCCGAGCTCACGGAACCGGTTCGGGGAATGTCGCTGGTAAAGTCGGAGCGGCCAAAGCGACACAGATATCAGAGGTAGCCCAGGTGTAAGGTGATCAGGAAGCTGTTTATTGCTCTCAAGTGTTTATTTTATACTCTTTGTACACTATTGGTTCAAAAGTCTCAAGCATAAAACACAGTACATACATTGGTAATCCAGAAGACACTGCACACGCTCTCATTGGTGACACTGAAGACACTGTGCCTGCTGTCACTGGTGATATTGTGCACATTTTGATTGGTGACCTTTGCTCTGGGCTGCCTTACGTTTGTTCCATCCGGCATTACAGTAAATATTTCCTTAGAGTTGTTTACATTCCTCGTCACTGATTGCCAGGCTGCTGACAGGTTCTCTGCCAGCCCCGACAGGGGAGCGTGGAGCGAGCGGTGCCATCGCCTGCTCTGCCCCAAACATCCCCTCACAGGTCACTCTGCCAGTCTCAACAGGAACAATTTTGGTTCCTTGTGCTCATTAAAGCCCTGGGGTTGGATGTCAGTGGCTGACAGCACGTGGCACATCCCTGGGGCTGGCCAGGAGGAGTCCTGACCCATCTGAAGGACAGAAATGTCTTTGTGGGGACATGGAGCTGCTCAGTGGCCATTGTTCTATTTAGGTCTAAAGGTATTTGGCAGGAGGGGGGGTGAGTGTGTTGCTCGGGAGAGTAAATCCCTGTAAATTCCTGTTTCTTGGGAGAAAACCCAGCTTGATACCATCTCTGCCCAACCAAGAGGGTTTGGAATGAGTCATCGGCCTTGACTCCTGAACCAAGACCAGATCATGAAGGATACAAGCAGGACAAGTCACAGCTCGTGTCCCACAAGCTGAGTGTGCTCATGGCTTCAGCTCAACAAGGACAAACAGCTGCCATCTGAGCAGAAAGATGGGACCCCTGGCTCTGTTTGGGGTCCCAGCACAGCTGGAGGGGGGATGGAGCTCTTTGGGCTCTCATAGTTTTTGAAACTTTCTCCATCCTGAAAGAAGGTGACGTGTGGGTTTACATGGAAATGTGAAAACAGCAACAATTTAAGCTCAATTAAAGCTTTTTTCCCCTCAGTGTCTGAGGTGTTCAGACAAGGCTGCAGCTGTGCCCTGGCTTACCTTTCAAAGAAGCCTTTTCAAGGACCAGAAGAAAGAACCTTTGTCTCTTAAAAAGGCCAAAAGAAAAGGTCAACTCAAGGCATTTTCAGCCTTTTTTTTTTTTTTTAAGTGCCAAAGTCGTCAAAACTGGCCTGATCCCCGGAAGGATCTGTCTGAGGAAAGTTTTTGTTTCAATGGAAAATGTTGCACCAAAAATTTCCCAGTAGGAGCTGGGAGGAGCCGAGGGGAGAGGGATGGGGGAGGCCTCAGGAGATGCTTGGAGTCCCTGGGAGCTCAGAGAAGTCCAGAGCAGCCTTGCAGTCCCCTTGTGGTCCCTGCCAGACCTGCTGTGCTGGAGGGTCAGCCCTGGGCAGGAGGATCTGCTCACATCCTGGTACTGAGAGGTTTGGAGAACAGGAGCCATGGAATGCAGACACATCTGTCACAGAATCCTAAAACAGTTCTGGTTGGAAAGGACCTTAAAGCTCATCTCATTCCACCCCCTGCCATGGGCAGGGACACCTTCCAGTGGACCAGGTTGCTCCAAGCCCCGTCCAACCTGGCCTTGGACACTTCCAAGGGTGCACAGAACATCTCCTGTGCAAGCACCTGACTAAGGGCTTTGCCCCTCTGTGTCTGTCTAAGGGTGATGTTCTCCTCCCAGCAGCTTTTAACCATCCCCTGGGTTCCTGCTGACCCTGCAGTGTGACCTTCTCCCTAATCCTGTGGCGAGTCCCCCCCTGCTCCTCCCAGGAGAGGAGCTCTCACTCCGCTGCCCTGTCACATTCCAGACGACTCCCAGGTCTTCCGTGTCCAAGTGCGTCAGGTGGAAGACTACCCTGTGGACATCTACTACCTGATGGACCTGTCCAACTCCATGAAGGACGACCTGAGGAACATCCAGAACCTGGGCACGAAGCTGGCCAGCGAGATGCGCAAGCTCACCAGCAACCTCCGCATCGGCTTCGGGGCCTTCGTGGACAAGCCCATCTCCCCCTACATGTACATCTCTCCTCCAGAAGCCATGGAGAACCCTTGCTATGAGTAAGTCCCGGGCTGAGGGAGTCCTGGGAGGGCCAGAAGTTGATGGGACATCACTGGAATGTGGCTGGAAATCCATCCCAGTGCCTGATTCCGGGCAGGGTTCAGACCTTGCTGCACAGTGTGTTCTGCCGGCACAGGGAGGAGGAGCAGGTCTGAACTAGAACTATCATTGTCACCGGGAAGTCCTTAAGGGAACAATTTTACACCAGTTTTTCATGAGAAGTGTTGAGGCTCGAAGCAAACGACTCCTAAAAATCCCAGCAGGTCTGAGGCTGGGAGCTGCCCTGAGCCCAGCACCTCTAGGTTGATTTTTAGAAGGTCCTTCACCGGCACATCCTGGACAGGCCCCTGGGACACGGGATGGCTGCAGGGCAGGGATGGGAGCTGGCAGAACCCTGTGACTGTTGTGTCCCCCCCAGGATCGGTGAGACCTGCCTGCCCATGTTCGGGTACAAGCACGTGCTGTCGCTCACGGACGAGGTGACCCGGTTCAACGAGGAGGTGCGGAAGCAAAGCGTGTCCCGGAACCGCGACGCGCCCGAGGGCGGCTTCGATGCCATCATCCAGGCCACTGTGTGCGAGGTGAGGGGCAAGAAGGCCTGGCTGGGGCTGGGGCAGGGCCACCAGCGTGGGCAGAGACCGCCCAACCCCACCAGGACAGGATCATGAGCCTTGTTGAGCTGCTGTGCCACTCGGCTCTGGAGAGGGTGAACATTCAACCAGCACATTTCCAGCCCAGTAGTCAAGGCAAGGGAAGAGCAGGACCTTCAGTGGTCCTGGCAGGAGAGAGGAGCAGAGGAGGTGTTTGGGAATGGATGATGATCCCATGTCAGCCCTGCAGTGACCAGCCCAAAAGGGACAACAGCTCCCGTGCCTGCACCTTGATTTTGCTGGAGGGGTTTATTAGGTCAGTCATTAAACACCGTGATTAACACAGGCAAATTAATCACAGAATCACAAAATATGCTACTTGGGAGGGACCCACAAGGATCATCCATCCAACCCCTGGCCCTGCACAGATTCCCCTACAATCCCACCCTGTCCCTCAGAGCGGTGTCCAAACCCTCCTGGAGCTCTGGCAGCCTTGGGGCCGTGCCCACTGCCCTGGGGAGCCTGGGCAGTGCCAACCACCCTCTGGGAGAAGAACCTTTCCCTGAGATCCAACCTGACCCTGCCCTGACACAGCTCCAGCCATTCCCTGAGTGCTGTCCCTGGTCCCCCCAGAGCAGAGCTCAGTCCCTGCCCCTCCTCTGCCTCTCCCCAGGAAGCTGGAACTGCACTGAGGTCTCCCCTCAGTCTCCTCTTCTCCAGCTGAACACACCAAGTGCCCTCAGCGTCCTCACACGGCTTCAAATCAAGGCCCTTCCCCATCTTCATTGCCCTCCTTTGCACACTCTCTAATAGCTTGATATCTTCCTTATTAAAACCCATCTTTCACCTGTACAAGCAGCCCCTGCCCCCCTGCCAGCCCCCACATGCCCACAGCACTTCCCTGGGGGAGCAATTCCCTCCATTCCTTCTGCAGCTGGTTGGTCCTTACGGCCGAGTCACGCCCCGGGGTGGCACAAAGGCAGCAGTGGGGCGCTGGCACAGGGTGCTGCCACGTAACTGGGAGCTCCTTTCACCGCAGGAGAAGATTGGCTGGAGGAATGATGCTTCCCACCTGCTCGTCTTCACCACGGACGCCAAGACCCACATCGCCCTGGACGGGCGGCTGGCCGGCATCGTGCAGCCCAACGACGCCCAGTGCCACATTGGCAAGGATAATTTCTACTCTGCCAGCACCACACTGGTAAATCCCGGCCCAGGCGTGGGGTTGTGGAGCCCAGAGCTCCTGTTGGGTCCCCATGGGATGGGAAAGGTGGTCCAGCCAGGGCTGGAGAGCCGGGTGGTGGAGGTACATGTCCCTAGGGGATAACCTCTCCTCTTCCCCAGGACTATCCCTCTCTGGGCCTGATGACTGAGAAACTCTCACAGAAGAACATCAACTTGATCTTTGCTGTGACAGATACAGTTGTTGGCCTCTACCAGGTACCAGCTGCTGTGCAGACACTTTTTGGGGGGCTGGAGGGTCCCCAGGAGCCAGCCATGGGTGGCTGGAGATGGCTTGGTGGTCTCCTGTCCCACCAAAGCTCCCGGGGACGCTCCTGTGTGCCTGGGTGGGGTTTGGCCCAGCCACGACACAGTCACCCATCACAAACAGACCTCCTTTATGGTATTTCTCCAGAACTACAGTGAGCTGATCCCAGGCACAACCGTGGGCACCTTGTCCAGAGACTCCAGCAACGTCCTGCAGCTCATCGTGGACTCCTATGGGGTAAGTGTGTGATGTGTTGGCCCCACAAGAGCTCTCCGCCTCCCAAAATAGCCCCTGCTTCACACTGCAAACAGCCCACCCAGATTTGGCAGCCCCCCCAGCCCTGAGCACCCTCCCTGGCCCAGCTGTGAGCATCTGTCTCCACCCATGTGAGAGGGAAGGGAGATCACTGTGTTCACTGCCTGCCCCTTTCCATCCTCAAAGGCATTCGAGGCAGTGACGTAGGGAATGATGTAGCCAAGCCTTGAGAGAGACTTGGAGCACTCGGTTCCTGTCCTGTGGTGCTGGGGGGGACCCTGCCTGGGTCTGAGCCCTCCCCAGTGCTGTGTCCTCATCACTGCTCTCTCCTTGCCTAGAAAATCCGCTCCAAGGTGGAGCTGGAGGTGCGGGACCTCCCCGAAGAGCTGTCCCTGGCCTTCAACGCCACCTGCCTCAACGACGAGGTCATCCCTGGGCTCAAGTCCTGCGTGGGGCTCAAGATCGGGGACACGGTGAGGATCCTCTTCGTGGGCTTGGCCTTCCTCCCCCTCTACCAAGCAGTGCTGCCAGATTGTCTGATGCTCTGCACCAGCACTGCCTGCTTGTCCCACCCCCTCCCCGGTGACACGGACTCTGGAATCTCAGCAGTGGAGAGAGGGGGTCCAGTGGGGTGGGTGCAAGCAGGAAAACGTTTTGAGCCTCCTGGATGCCAACCCTGCGGTCCTGTAGCTCAGCCCAGGCTGCTGCCCACAGTGCATGGGATCCTGGAATTGTTCAGATTGTAAAAGACCTCTAAGATTGAGTCCAGCCACCAACCCAGCACTGCCAGGTCCACTAAACCATGTCCCTGAGCACCACAACTACAAATTTCTTGCACACTTCCAAGGACGGTCACTCCACCACTTCCCCGGGCAGCCTGTTCCGATGCTTGACCAGTGAACAACTTTTTCCTAATATCCAACCTAAAAATTCACCTAGTTACTGTGGCAGAGCAGGTGCCCTGGCCCAAACCATGCTGGGACAGCTTTGATAAGCCCAAAGAGACCTGGTAGACCCTATTTGTGAGCTCCTCAATGTGATAAACAAAGTCTCGAGTTTCTATAAGTTTTTGAATAAGAGTTTATTATATGGTAAAAGCAAGCAGCCAGCTGGGTGACAGAAATGGGGACCAGTTTCCCAAATCTGCACACCCCTACTACAGGGTACATTTAGTATTTATCTTAGCTACTTCATGCATATTAATTATATTATATACAGGTTTTTGCTAAGTATTTAATATATGGGTTTTCTTACAGCTAAAGCTAAAAGGGTTATCTCTACAACCAGTCATAATTCATGCATTCTTGGACAAACAGGTGCCTAAAAGACCATATTTTATTTTTAGGATAGTAGGGAGGTTTAGGGCCCCTTGACCTTGTAAGGGTCTGTTTTAT